TCTAAAGAAGGACTCGTGCCCAGGATATAAAAAAAATCTCCTACAAAACAAAAAAAAGAGAAAACCCAATTGTAAAACTGGGCAGAAGACAAACAGGTTTGTCATGACAGAGGACATCCTAATGGACAATAGCATATGGAAAGGCGCTCATCCTCGGTGGTCATAAGGGAAATGCATAGGAAACCACAGTGAGATACCACTACGCAGTCCCCGAAATGGTGAAAACTTTAAAGTTTACCAAGTGTTAGTGAAAATATAGAGCCACTGGAATTCCTCATCACTGTTGGGTGAAATGTAAATGGTAAAACTTTGAAAACCTGTTTGGCAGTATCTCCTGAAGGTGAATGTGTCCTTTCACCCAGAAATTCCATTCCTAGTATATACCTAATGGAGATGTTCACTTTATGCACCAAAACATTAGTAACAGAAGAGTGTACATACCAGCATTCTTCATAACTGAAAATAACGCGAATGCCTACCAAGAATAGACCAGATACGATGTTGTAATATAGTCATACCATGGAATACTATGCAGCGATGAAAACAATACACCAGCACCATATACTACATGGATAAACCTCAGAGACAATGGGAGCAAAAGAAACCACACACTCCATATCGTGTGCGTCCATTTTTTCAAGTTCGAAAAGAGGCGATACTAACGTATGGTGACGTATATCAGTGTGGTGGTGCCTTTGGGGAAGGTAATTGCTGGCAGGGGAAAAGAGGCAGGCTTCTGGATTGCTAGTAAAAGCCTATGTCTTTATCCTATAGTAATTACAAGGAAGTGTTCACTCAGTAAAAGTCACTGAATTATAGCCTCAATATTCGTGCACTTTGCTATATGTATATTAAATGTTATACTTGTTAAAATTTATTAAATGTTATACTTATTAAAGTTTTTTTTTAATGATAGTAATGAGATCTAAGGTGATTTTAAGGATACTATGCTTTATAAAGATGAAGGCCTAACATGGATGGGCCTTGGAAGTATTATGCTAAATGAAATAAGTCAGAAAAAGAAAGACAAATAATGTACGATTTCACTTATGTGGAATCAAAAAATAAAAACAAACCAAAAAACAAAAACACCCAAAACACCAAACTCACAGAAAAAGAGATCAGATTTGTGGTCACCAGACGTGGGGGGTGAGGGGAAGGTGGAGGAAGGTGGTCAGAAGGTACAGAAGCACTGTTATAAGTGAGTACTGGGGACGTAGGGTACCACACGATGGCTCTGACGCCACTGCATGACACGTAGGACAGGTGTTAAGAGAACAGATCCTAGGAGTTCTCATCACAAGGACTTATCAAAAAGTAAGTCACTGAATGCACTCCATTTCATGTGTGCCTGAAACACACACCCAAACACAACAGAAAGCCAGGTAAAGTCTTCGAAGTCAAATGACACCCTTTAGAGCTCTGGCTCGGGCAGCCAGCAAACACTCAACAGAGGAATTCATTGTTAAAATCTGCACTCATCTGTTATAGCTTAGGAAAATGTTTAAATCACTTAGAATCAAATTGGATTTGGAATAATCTCATGAGACCCCACATTCTTACTGAGGAGGAAATGCAAAAAGTGATTTTCCCGAAGTCTGAGATCTGCCTCGGGGAGGGATCGAGACCAGAACCCGATCTGATGTTCAGTCCTTTACACTGTGCCAACCCATCTCCCAACTAAAACAGATTTCATGTCATATGTAAATGAAAAAAGTGCTAAAGATACCTGGGGTGGTAGCATATTTTTCCTCCTTTCAAGGACACTATTTTAAAACGGTTGTCGAAAGACAGGAAGGAGGGAGGGAGGGAGGGAGGGCAGCCAAAACCTCAACATTTTTAGAATCCTCTGAATTCTACTATTTTACTTTCAGTTCAGCTTCTACACATAAATTTACGACAACAGAAGAATCTTCGAACCATTTCAATTTCCTCCTACTTTGAAAATGACATTAAGAGCAAAGCTGAAATTGACAAGGCCATTAAAACGCGACAGGAAGCGTTTAGCAGGCTTCCCTCCATCCTGACAGTTCGAATCATTTCTCATTTCACCGGAGCCACAGCAAACTTCAACTACAAAGTCGGACTCTTGAATCTTTGAAACCGGAGTTCATTTCAACACTTACTGTAATTGAAATTCTCTTAATTTCTGTCTCGATTTAAGAGCACAGCATGTCGTTATTTCTAGTATAGGCTCCACTGATGAGTTGGCAGAAATAAAGGAGGTAATAAATGTGAAAGCACTCTGTAAATCTGGAATAATTATAACACACGGAAGGCTCTGTACTCAGAAACAAGGTCTGTAAGTGCGTTGCTGATGTGACTGCGATGCCCCCTTCTTCGTGGCAAACCACTACGTGTAATTTCTTTACGACAAGGGTGTCTACCGTCACTACTGTTACTACCAGTGCAGTAACGTAAGAAAAAGATTAAGAAAAGAAAATAAAGCAAAACTGTCTATTTACATATTACATAACAAAGTAGCTGATTTAAGAGCAAGGTGGTATTAATGTTTATTCAGCTTGGTGCAACGTGTGCAGAACGGAAGCTCAAAGGTATACTGCTGAGTATGTGAGGTATGATGTTGGCTATTATTCTAGAAATTAAAATAACAGAACAGGAAGAGCATACTCAGTGGCCTTAAAGTCACACACGGTCGCTTTCAGGGATGGGGATTGGTCATAAGATAAAAGACTATGGTTAAAATGACTGCGAAAAGCGTAGGGAAGCGGATGCACAGACTCGAGAAGAACATTCGGTTCTCAGTTCCTCGTGAGGGTGCTGTGCCGTTGGGGTCTGCAGCAGCACCTGAGGTTTCCCTGTGTGAGCGCCGGGCCACTAACTGATGGCTGGTCACTGGGCGGGGACAGCGTCCGCTCCAAACGGAACCCAGCGGAGACCGGCCTCGCTGGCATGTTCCAATGTATTCATCTCTGCTCACCCTCATTATCACAGACTCTTGTAAAATTACATTTAGGTAATTTATATTTTAGTACACTATTACGGTCTTAGCAACTTTCATTTACTATCTTGAATTCTGAAATGGTTTTAATATGATTCTTTCGTTTCTGCATTTTCATAAAATTTAGTGCCCTTTACTCAGCAATTAGAAGGTATCTTAGAGCTATGTTTTTAAAATATTCTTTACTCAGAAAGAGCTTTAAAACTGTCTAATCTGATGCAAAATATATATGGATAATCTAAAATGGTGATACAAGCTGTATAAATTACTAATGAATACTTTCTAATGAATTCAAGATTGGATCATTAACCTGCGATATCAAACAAAGCAAGAAGTATCAACTACTTAAATGGACCAACTGTTTAACTTTTATCTTTGTGTTTACTAATGTTTCAGCTATTTCTCCTCTAAATATTATATAATGAGGCAAATACTGTTTTTACTACGACAGAGCAAAACTGTAAGTCAGAGGCTGCAAGCACATAGAACCATCTGTTTAGTTATGTGTAAAAAGTATCTAGCATCGATCAGAGAAAAAATGAGGGGAAAGTCACTGATTGACTAAAAATATACTTGATGCTAGCGGAAAAATCTTGTTCTGTATACCATAAGCCAGCCCCTTCCAAATAAACTTAGAAAAATATAAATTTTGTTATATTCCTTATGCAAGCCAGAAGCTAATTAGCCTGTAGAATTTCAAAACAGGTAAAAACTTTTTTAATTACCACTTTTTCCTTTTACAAGTATATAATGAATATGTTATACATTTTTATGGTGTTTTATGGTTTTTGGCATTTTTAAAACAAGATGATTTCCAGTAATCAGTACATTCTCAGATTTTCAGTTTTTTATGCATTTCTAGCTCTGAATGATATAGCCATATAAAAATAGATTTCTGATCAGCATTTATATTTATAATTCTCCATAATGGTTACATCAAGAAAAAAGAAAATACCAGACAGGAGTGGGCAGAGGGCCAGACCACAAACATGCGAGGACTTTCACGAAAGCCGAGCCCTCTGCATCGATCCTAGATGTAGATAAGTGCTTTTATTTATAAGTGTCATTTGAAAAAAAACCAGTACATATAAAATGACACTGGAATGGGAGCATACTTCCGACTACCTACTGGCTAACCTTTGCTACTCGAAAGGGTCGGTTTGATTATTCAGGAAGGGAATCACCTAACTTACAAATTAGCCACGGCGTTTGCTTTCTCTCCACATTATTACAGGCTCTTTGCCGCGTTCACTGCCCCTCAACAATCTCTTAGAGTGGTAGATAAGGACGATGCTGACCACACCCACCACACCGTGTAGGGCGACCTAAGTTTGAGGATAGAGGCAAAATTTTGTTTAATGGACTTGGTAATTTTGAGTCTTTGGCCTCAGTTAGCATTGAGAATATGAGTTAACCATATATACGTATTTCGAGAGTCATTCTGCATTTCGGATATAACCTAGAGAAATTAACAATCTGATGACTATTCTCCACTAGCAGAGCATAATCAGTGAAAATCAGGAAACCATTTTCTTCCAGGCCCACTAATAATGAGGGAGAAGAAAGATTTCAAAACGGGACATAAAACCACACGAAGCTGTATGACGTGACATAACTCTGAATATAGCAACAATAGCAGAGAACGTGCCAATATTCAAAATCAGATGCCACACTGCTTCCTACGCTTGTCTATTGTCAAATGCCACATTGTCAGAGGGGCAGAGCCCTCGGGACTCCTGAGGCCGACCGCGGCAGCCTGCGAGGCCCTGCTGCGGCTGCTCCTTGCCGGACAGCAGCAGAGCCCAACGGAGGCCGCGCTGTGCCTTCTCCCTCACAAGGAGGCACGGAACACGCAGCCCAAGTCGCCATCGGGACCGAGGGCTGCGGATCCGTTAGTGTCAGGTGTAAAGCAGAGGACGCGGCACAGTGCACATAAGAAATGAAGAGAGGAAAAAAAACCCTACAAATCTTGACGAGGGGTTTCTAAAATACAGCCCCGTAAAATAAATCGGAAACACGAGGCGGAGGCGCTCGCTACCTTGCAGATCTTGTAGAGCGACTCCTGGCCGTCGCCCCCCGTGTCCTTGAAGTGCTCGTGTGCAGGAAACGTGCGATGGATGTCCCGCGTGATGACACTCTCCTGTGCCGAGTCCTAAAAAAGAAAAAAAAAATTTAATTTCTTTTTAATTAGGAAAACTAATATATATATACATGGTTAAAAAAAAAATTTGAACAGCACATGAAAAGTACGCCCCGCCCCCAATGCCTTCCGTCCCAGACCCACAATCCCATTCATCAGAGATAAACGCTGACGAACAGTTTTTTTGTGCCCTTTCGCCCACCTGCCCATCTGTAGATATGTGAACGTATGTTCACGTGAGGGGAGAGGGGAAAAGTAGTCAGTATACACACATCTCCATCCTTTGCTTCTTGAAGCACAAATAGAAGTAAACTATCAGCTCAATTCGTACAATAGGAAAACTTATAGAATATTCCTTAATGATACATGCAGATGTATTTCATTCTTCTTAAGAGCAGCTATTCAAAAGAATGAGGTACATCTGGATATGGATATATCATAATTTATTTGATATTCTCCTAATAATGATTATTTAGGTTTTTCTATTTATAGTACCAATAATATCACTAGGAACATCTGTATCCATACCTGTCCCAGGGCAGGCTCCTAGAGCTGGAATTGCTAGGCCAAAGGCACATGCATTTCCATTTCTGATAAAGGGACTTTCCCTTCAGAGCTGCGGCATGATACACACTCCGAACGATGCTAAGAGTATGTGTTTCTCTACAGCCTCCCGTATTACCTGACTTTGTAATTTTTGACAATCTGATAACTGAAAACTCAGACCACAGTAATTTAAAAAGTAAGAAATATTATCAATCTCCCCCCCCCAATGAATAGGTTAATTACCCAACTCACTCGCTCCAGAAAATAAAAAGCCCCGAACAGCTATATTAAGATGACATATGCTTAAAAGATAAATCTAGAGAATTTGTTCAGATATATTCAGGATCCAAAAGCTCAAAATTGAGTAAAACTGTAAATCTTATAAAAATGATTCATCCATCACTTGATTTTATTTTACCCCTGTAGAGGTTGTTTGTTTTATCTGTTTAAATGTCCAGAAAACAGGACGAGACTTCTAGCAATCCCGATGATGGAACTATTTTGCACAATTTAAGGAAAGCATCGATGACTACTATTGCAAATTAAAAGTATTGTTCAATGTCTTGCTTCAGTAAAGATCTGAACGAATCCCCTCCTTCAGTTAAAATCAAGAAAGGAAAAAATGTTTGCTATATAAGTTACTTTAATGAATGCTATTTCTCGTTCTCTCTCTAGCTGAGCCGTGTGTAAGAGGGAAGGAGCTGATCAGCTCTGCGTTAAGCCAGTGCCTTCTCTTGCTGCCTTTTCCATTTCGACTGTTATGTCATGCTGGGTGGTAATTAGACCTCATATCATGTAGAGAAAGGACATCAACTGAAAAGTTCCCCACTTGCTAACAAACACCAAACATATTGCAAATAAATCAGTCCAGAGAACATTCTGATGGCAGGAATGGAATGCCAGAGCTGAATACAAATGAAACTTTAAAAAATTATCATAACCTAAGTAAAAAGACGCGTAGCAAGTTCACATTTAACAAGGTAAATGCAGTTTCTAATGATAAAGAATATTTTGGGGTGAAATGGGGATACAGGACACGGTAAATATAAAGGCAATGTACAAAGAGATACACTGTGAAACATAGGTTTCATCTGGCCTAGTATGAAGCGTGAAGGGAATCTGTTACCTGGTCAAAGAAATTTTCACTGGCCAATTTTCTCCAAGAGAAGGCTTCTCTCTCCACACAGTAGTAGTTTTCACTTACAAACCATCCAAAAAGATGACCAATGAAAACGTTACTACAGCTACCATCGAACTATTTCAGGGGCAAATGTGTGCTGGGTGGTTCATGGGTTAACTTTTTTTGCACTTTTCAAGATGTTAAAGGAGAGGAATCACTGGACTATCTTCCCTAGAAACTGCCCACTTACTTGGCATCATGCTGTGTTTAAGTGGTACCAACAGTCTGATTCAGAGAAAGGAACATGGACCAAAATTTCTAGAAAGTAACTCTGCATGATACTGAGTAATTTTTCTATGCATATTTTAATCTTCCTTGTTTTTTTTTTCTAAATAAGGCAAAAATCAAATGAAAATAAAAATCATAAATTTTTCCTTGCTTAATTAACTTTCCCTTCTTAGGAATACTTTTAAATGATTTATACACATGAGTGTTTCTAGAGTTTTCTTCCTACATAGTGATCTCAGTTGGCTAAGGGGATAATTTCTGGAACTTCACTTTACAGACTAAATAAGCTATTTTGCTACATCGGTCATTGATCCCTTCACAAGTGAAGGTCAAGGAGTACACTAGACTCTCCCGAACAGACTAACAGGAATGAAGCTGTGCCCAACTAGAGAAAACAATCGTGGTTTTGAAACCACAGGTAACCACCTCCCAACGACCCACTGTCACGAGTACGGATGGTACATATTTCGGGAACCCCCACCTCTCCCCCAATTCTCTCACTCACCCATTCAACACATATCAGAGTCAAGGAGTTGCCGGATCTAACGCACAGCGAAAGCAGGAGAAAACAATTCTTCTCTTTAATATAGACTCATTCCAATTACAGTTGTCGATTTTTACAAGAAATAAAATGAACAGAGAAGGACAGAAAAAGAGGCCAAATAATTCACCATATAAGTATCTAGAGCTAAAAAGTTTCATATGAAAACCCTCTCTTTTTTTTTTTTTTACTATGGCTAAAAACATTTTACAGCACAACGAAAACTGATATGAGGTCAATTTTTTGGCGGGTCAACTTAAGGAGCCTCTGCCAACCATTGCCAGATCGAGAGGGGGACAGCCACTCCTCATGGGCAGCTGCTTCACCCGCATCCGGAGACTCACAACTTCACCCAACATTTACTTCCCAGTACGTGCATCTCATGTGGTATGATAGCAAATTCATGTCATTTAGAATAAAATAATGTGTGTACAGTGCTTAGCACACTGCCTAGTATAAAATGAGTACTCACCAAAGAAATAATAATAATAATAATTATTCCCCCTTTTCTTTAAGAATCACGCTTAACTGTTTAAATATTTTGGTGAACAAACATTTTAGACATCCTTCTGTATTTGAACACTCTAAATAATAAAGTAAACAACTGTTTTTCTTCGGACATCGCTAACATTGTGATTACGAAACCAATTCCCTTAGACTTTTCAGTATGACGATGCGTTAATGCATACATGCCCGTTCTAAAATTTTTATCATGTACCTAACGTGTCCTAAGTTTTCCTTGTTTTTATCAATTTATGAATAAAAGCAAAAGGGAACAATTATTTGGATAACATGATATTTTTATCAACTGGTACACACTCTGGCCCAGCTTCGCATATATCCCTGCAATAAAGAAGATGTCCGCACAGATGTCAGCGGAGGGCTGGAAGGGCGGCAGGGGGTGGAAGCTGAATCTGTCAGAGCAGCTACCACTTCCACATCACTTTAGAATTTAGCTTCAGAGGATCAGGGAAGGGTTGAAGTCATGGTAATGGAGAGGACAAATGCCACTGTCACTACTGCATGCCTCCCTTCTGGACCGCCACCACCGAGAATGTAACCGGTAGGCAAAGTCCTCCAGATCATCTTCTTTCTGCCTAAGGAGGGTCACGTTGGGCCACATGCAAAAGCTCGCTCAGAGCAGAAATGGAATAGTCGTGAGAGGTTTGGAAGACAGTCCCCACAACCCTTACCCTTGACACTAACACCACATAGCAACTAAATTTCTATTTAGTTTACCTTTCGAGGATTTTTTTTTCATTTCCAAACCGCTAAGTCATAACACTAAACATCTTCCAAAGAGACATCAGTCTCTAGTGTGATAAAATCCACGGTCATAACTCAGCTTGCTGAAGACCAGTCCAAAACCGACCCTGAGAGGTATGCCAAATAGCTCGATTAACTTTTGATCGTATTAAGTGGGTTCAATTTAAAGCTTCTCTCAAGAATACTACATGAGCAGTTCTTCCAATATGATGCATATACCCTGACAGTTTGTAATGCTCTGAGTTCCCAGTTGGAGAGAATCATCACTCGCTTGCTGTGAGCAAGAAATGAATACGGCATTCACGTGTCAATAAGTATTAGGAAGACAGGCGTGGATGACCACAGCCTATTATTATTCTTCATTTCTGCACTGTCAACACTGGAAAGGTATTTTAGTGGCGAGGACCGTTTTCACATGTGACCTTAGCATCAGACAAAGTATAAGACTGATGTCCTGAGAAATGAACGCCTTGACTGTACCTTGATTTGCTACATTTTTACAGCTATGGCAGCATCTTTTTTTATTAATCCCTTGTCAGATCCAAAGAATTGCATTTTCACTTTTCATCCACTATAAAGTCACTTCAACTTTATAAGTCCATGCCAATTTGTGAGTGTCATTAAAATGCCAATGTAGACCATGCCTCGCCAGTCAGTCGACAGATAAATGATTCAGATCTTGAAAAAAGTTTGACCTTAGAACGTGCCTTCCAGTCTCACTCCCCAGGGACCCTCCTTCAGTTCTATGTGGGAGCCAGTTCTGTGGTAAAACATCACACACCGGCTGGCTTGCATGCCCCCGACAGCAGATGGGTTTGCAGTGGTGGGTCTGATTTATTTGCCTTGATGTTCGCCAAAAATCCAAAGAGGCAGAGATGAAAGGAGGAAATATGAAAGTGCATTCTAGTTTCAAACGTGCTACTAAAATCATGAGCTGGAAACTGTAACACAAAAAGGTTGGATCGTGGCCGATCTTCCTTCCTTGAATAGGGGGACAGCCTTAGCATAAGCGGGGTAACATGGAAGCAAAGAAAGAAAGGTCAGCGAAATCATATTGCGAGCGAGCTGCTTCGTGGGCATTGCACACACGCTGCCAAATGTCTCAGAATCAAAGCGTGACACAAAGGTTAAAAACGTAAGCCACTTTCTGGCTTCACCTGGAAAGAAATCTCTTCAGAGAGCAGCAACAGGAAGAC